TAAATTTATCAACCATGGACAACTACTGTTTAAACTGAAGAAAAGTGTATAATTAGAAGAGATTGTTAGCCTTCACACCTATATATCTCGATCTAAATCTTTTGTTCTTTACCTTGAAGTAAAAGTACAAATAGTTATTGAGAATGGGCTCCTATGTTTTTCTATTGAATACTTTCCTTAATTGTATATTATATGTCAGTGGTGCCTCATGATTTTACAACGGAGCTTATGCATCAAACCAAGAATTGAATGATTGAAGGCGTGAATCTATTTAGTAAACAAAATTGTATTTCAAGTGAGACACTAAAGGCGTGAATCTATTTAGTAAACAAAATTGTATTTCAAGTGAGACGCTAAATGATGAATTATTGTATATATGAAAAAGATACTCTTTTTTTCCGGCAGCGAAGCGCGGGTAAGCTGCTAGTTTCATCTATGTTTGACGAAGTACTTGGTTTATGTTAGATATAGGACAATGCTCGAGGAGGTTTCGTTTGTTCCATTACTCTAGCGTAGACACTCCACTCCTTTTCTTTTCTTTCTTTCCTCTCTAAGTCAGAATTTGGATAAACTGTAGTATGGCGAACTGATACCTGATCGATAGGCAGTGCCGTATCATGAAAAACAATGGGGTTCAAAACTTTTTATGCTCTCCTTGCTTTAAATGCAAAATTTTGTCGCTAGATAGGTCATATAATTATATTTCAATCATTGTTTGAAAGCACAGTGAGGGAGTTCCCAGTCTGAGCACCAAATAATTTAACGATTACGGACAATGGTTCCCTTTTTGATCCTGCATCCTGCCTGTTCTAGAGCTGATTCAAAGAATCCACCCCCTTGAAAGTTGGAATCCATACATGGTGGGGCAAATTGAACAATTATGTCTTTCAATGTGAGCACACCAGTTGGTCTGTGAGAACCATCCACAATAAAGCTAAAACTTCCTTTAGACTCGACTAGATTCGTCATGGCCTGCTTCAGGGTGTTGCTCCTTTTGATGGTGACAGGTGAGTCCATTCTTGGAAGGAAGCTGTAGCTTAAACGAAGAATCCCAGCAGAAAAAAGGGCCCCCAGGTTTTGCTCAATGGTCGGATCGGAGGCTTTATTGTCCATTTTCATGTGAACAAAATCCTTTGCGCTCATACCCCTGTGCTTATCACAAACACGCATAAGAACTAAGTTAAAGTTTTGACCTTTGAGGATTCGTAACAGGATGGAGAAATCATTTGTAAACTAAAGTCTGACAACTTGTTACTAGCTTCTTGGGAAATATCCAGGGATGCAAAGTTAAATCTTGTATCAAACTTACTTCATATCATTAAATATTTCTTCATTCCTCAGAAGAAGATACACGTCGCTATTCCTTATGCAACCCACAAGCTTCTTAGTTTCATGGTTCACAACTGCAATGGCGCCAATTTGGCTTTCCCACAGGCTGTGAAGAGCTTCTTCTAGGCCCTGGTTTTCATACACGAGAATGAGATGTTCCTCATTTTCAAATCTGCGTGAAAAATATGGTCAGGAAGAAGCTACATTTTCACAGTACTTGCAAGAGGATAGGAATTGAAAGAGATTACTGATGCGGCAGCACTTACCGGAATTTAGATAAAGCCTTATCTGCAATGCTGTCAAACCACTCTAACCCACTTGATTGGAGCAGTAACTGGACAACTGCATTCTAAGAGGTGCAACCAATTAGTTGTCAACGCAGAATAGTACTGTATACAGGTTTTACATAACTCCTAGTCTTACTAATGAAGAGAAATATGCAATGTGTACAAGAAATAGTACTGCTGTACTGGATTTACACACTTCCTACAAGTCTTACATACTAGTCACTGCATTCTAAGATAGCAGTAGAATTCTAAGACAGTTTACCTGTGTTACAAAACCAATAGCCTGAGAGTTTGTTCGGTCAATCACAGGCACAACATGCAGCCGGTGCTTCGAAAGCAGCAAAAGAGCTCGAAATAGTGTATCGTCCAAGTGGACGGGAAAAATGGGATCCCATAAAAATGATTTAGCCAATTGCCCCACCTATCCATTTGGCAAGAACACAAAAACCTATTTCTTAGCCATTGTGGTAGATATCCAACCAATAAATTCTTGCATCAGCAGTGTGCAATTGATCAACATAGACTAAAAAAGTGCGGGTTTGAAGCGCATTTTTGAGAAACGGTAACTAGTTAACATCATCCAATACTTGAAAAGGCAATGATGTTAGTGTGAAATGCATACCTTGGTTTCTGCTACTTGAGGATTCTGTGTAAGCATTGTAAAGAAGTTTCTCTTGTCAGTCTTATCTTCACCATTTTTTCCACTTCGTATACTCTCCTTACATTCCTTCAACAACGAAAAATTTGCATAGCGAAGTTCTTTGCTCAGCAATATACAGTGAAAGAAGGGCCAAAGTTGGTGTAGAAATAGAGATAAGATACCTCAAGAGACCAGAGAACCAAACGAGCAAAATCCACGAACCCCACATACCGATCTGGCAATCTTCCAGTTGTGATATCAGGGTCAGCAACATCAGCAATAGGAGCACCAAAAACATCTTTTTCGTACAAAAATTGTATAGCATCATTCACACTATCCTCCACTCTCAATTCCACAACTACAACAAAGTAAAAAAAGAATGAGCAAAGAACTGTTACCAAGTCCTTAATGAAATACAGAAAGCACAAAAAAGAAAAAAGGACACACAAAGCATATTCACATTTGGTACCAGGAGAGTTTTTAATGCCAGGGATGGAACTGATGGGGATGTGATCAAGAAACACCTGAAGAGCACTGCCAGGGTCAAGTTCAGGGTGTTTGTGATCATCGCTTAAGAAGTTGGACAAGATTTCCTCCTTTGTCTCCACGATGCCATTGGTGCCACATTCCCTGTCCTTAATGACATCCTGTAATTGACCCAAATCCATCGGTTCCTGCATTGTGTGGGTATCACTGGCTCTGATTCCATAGGTTTGATGATGCAGTTATTGTTGCAGTTATCCTAGTAACTACTTTATTGCTGATTCTGCCCTGTCCCTCCCTTCCCTGTCTTCTTATTCTCATTTGGACACGTATCGCCACGTGTCAGGAGTTTGGCTTACTTCTAACTCGGGAACCATATTTTTCCATAAAGTCTTGGAAAAAGACATTAGAATCCGTATATCATGATAACCCTTTTGCTCAATCGTGGGATGATACTAGTTGGCTGATTGGCATACTTGCTATTGACCTTTTCCTTTTCCTTTTTCCTTGCAGCTGTTTGTTACCCCCAATGAACTAGTATAATCCAAATAGAACTGTGCTTTTTTTTTCAGAATTGAAGGTGTTTTCAATTCAGATTTTCCTGAAAAAAGTGAAAAACAACATTGCCGGTCCATCATAATCTAAGAATTTTAAGAAAAATTTAATAAGAGAGTCCTATCCCAACCCTATCCGAGGTGCGTAGGTCCCTTCTCTAAAACTGGTCGCTGCTAGCTATGTTTCTTGCAAGCATATACAAATTCCTAGTCACCGGTAACTTTGAAGTTAACAAGTTTTGCTTTCAGTAAGGTACAAGGATGCTGCATCTCAAGGGAATTGGAAAGGTGTGAAGCCTTCCATTATTATTTATTAGGACATCAAGTTCTAATTTTTCATACAAGCAAGGGCTGCTGACTCAGTACTGCCAAACCTATATATTATTCCTAGAAAATTGACAAACGATCTAGCTGAACTCCTTGATTTATTTGAGGGTACTCCAGAGGCCATTTCAAGTTTCAAAGGTTGTCGATATATAACAGGCAAGGAAACGGCTTTGATTTACATATGACAAGAGAAAGAGCAGATTGCTTCCTGTGGCCAAGACCAAAATGTTGTTCTTCCATTCCTGCAGCTTCTTCAGTATGCACTCCACAGAAAGGCTTCCAATGTCTAAATGTCCTCCTCTTGGATATCTTTCTCAAAACAACCTGACCAAATGCTTCATGTACCTTTTATATAACTGTGCCATCCTCTATTGTTGCCTTCTCCGATACAATTGTGATTCCTGACCGGATATAAAATCCTTCTTCTTCTCTGTCAGCTTCTTGTACACCCTGCAATGCAAGACCATTCAGATGCAAGCAAAGTTATATTTCCATGCAGATCATAGGCATTCTCTGAAGTCCAAATGCCTTCTTGTCTGTTATTTTACTGGAATAATTTGAAACAAAAGTGCCACTTACATCTTTGTTCATGATGACCACGTCTTTTCCAATCTTCGCATTCTTGTCAATAATGCAGTTCCTTTCAAGAGAAGTGATAAGAGACTAGTTTCAGAGCTCATTTCATGATTGTGTTCAAGTTTGAGAATTTGAAAACAGAAGGTATAATAGAGTAGCATCCTTATATCTTCTTGTAATCAAAATGTGAGCTCAATACCTAATCTTTGTATTTCTGCCAATGCCAATTGGAACTTTTCCCTCTGCCAGAAGAGACGCAATTTCAGCTTCAGTTTGGTAGAAATCTGCACCCAGCATCACAGTATCCTGAAACCACACAGAAAGGAGCTATCCAGTTATACAAGCATGCCATCACAAAAATATATTCTGAATAATTAAGGAAACTCATAAGATAAGTCACCTTTAGCTCCACACCAGAATCTATACGAGAACGTTCCCCAACCACAGAGTGCTGAACGCTGCATTCTCTCAAGAAACACCCGTGGGAGATTATAGCATCTACAATCTGAGAAACCGACCAAACATTATAAGCAACATAATTCAGTGAAATCACAATTTCAATTCCAATGTACACATACATACCTTGCAATTATCGATTTTTGTCGGTGGCAGGAACCGAGGGGATGTGTAGAAGGGTGTTTTTGGATCATAAAACTCAAACTTTGGAGGCTGCGCAGAAGGCATTGTCAATTGACATGTATTATTGATCTTGTTTCAATGAAGACAAGGAGTTAAAAACAAGGCGAGCTTAAAAAGGCATATCTGATATAAAGTACTTATAGGAAGATTATCATACTGCCAACACTACTTGTAGTGTAGTGGCATCTCCCTTGGGTTTCATCCAAGTGGTCATGGGTTCAATCCCACCTAGTTTCGAGGATTCTTATGTACCAAAAAGAGGAATATTATCATACTAGAGCTCCATATCCCAAGTCAGACTGCAAGTGTCAAGCAATGTGCCACTGTAGGATAGGGAGAAAAGACTATTGAATGAAAAGTACAAGCAATGTGCAAGAACGTTAGGTGTCGTTTTGGTGGCTGGAGCCAAAACATTTATGCATAAAGTCCTATGGCATGCAAGGGATGCACAGCCAACAGATCTACAATGAATAGTAGAAATGATATAAATCCCTCATTCCCATATCCATGATGGTACTAACCTCTTCAGTGAGGGCCAAGTTAGCTTCGTAGAATGACTTTATTGTTCCTATATCCTCCCAGTAGTCTCTGAAAATGTATGCCTGAGAAAATGAGAGACCTTAAGAGTTATGCTGTTAGTTAAAGAGGTACAGAATGTGGAGAAAAGCTAATGAATGAGCCATAAGCCCTTTCGTACCTTTCAAAATTCATAAAATACTAATTATATATCTTCACATTGGATGTGATGCTACTGAACTAAGTTAGGACTAACAACAAGGCAATTGGAAGTTTCTTACCTGAACATTGTGCTCCACAACAGCTGCAGGAATGATTTCAGATCCAAAGTCATTTGATGTAGGAAATCTCCACCTCAGAAGCTTCAACAAAATATCTGTCTTAAACACATATACCCCCATTGATGCAATGAAGGGGGATTTCCTAGCATCTTGCAGTGGCAACCCAAGGCGAGATGTGTCTATTTGCTGCAAAGACTCCATTGAGAAAATTACAGCCCCCATGTGAGTTTTCTGGTACTTCAACCGAACAAATTTATGATTACAAGGTCCAAGCAGAAATGTTCTACGATGCTCACCATTTCTCTTAGTTCAGAACCCTTTGGTTTTTCAGCAAAGTGAACGATCCGGCCCCCACTGTCTATTTTTACCAATCCATACTCTGATGCACGGCTGGATGCACCCATGAAACACAGGTTGAAACATTTCTATGGAATAGAAGAATGATCAATAATGTAGAAGCACAGATAAAGACACTGACCTCTCACCCACTGGCGCACAGGATATAGTAATATCAGCATTACTGTTGACATGATGCTGTTAAGCCATAGCAAGTATATAAGGTTAAATATTTTAAAACGCTAGTGATATTATGAGTGCATTCTATTAGGGAATAACGGCATACTTGCACAAAGTCCATGTAATCCATTCGATAAAGATGGTCTCCCGACAAGATCAATATATTTTCGACATTTCTGTTCTTGGCATCCTACAACAACAAACATGAGTTATCAGACTCCAACGAGAAACATCTGAGTCTGTTTCATTTGGGTATAAAAGACAAATATATGCTCACCTCAAAAACCCATGTAAATTGCCTTACAGCATCTGCTGTTCCTTGGAACCACTTCATTCCTGCTTCCCCAGGTGTTTGAGTAGCTGCTAGAACCTGTTCACAAGCAGAGTAGCAACAATGTAGAAAGCCCTTTTTTTTAAAGAAAAAAAGAGAAACAACAATGCGAAGCTGTAAACAAAATCCCACTAGGAAAGCTGAATGTAGAAAGATTTATCAAGAAGTCAGGGTAGGGTACTGTGCTACATCTTGAAGGATCATACCTCCACAAATCCATCCCCGAAGTTAATACCATTGCCAAAATATGTGCGTGCAAGATGCCTATTCAGGGAAGCTGAATTGAACTGGGTAAGGACAAAGATCTTGTTTATGCCACAGTTGATACAGTTGCTCATTGGGATGTCTATAAGCCTGTAGCATCCTCCAACTGGAACCTGCGGAAGCAGACCAAGTGCAGAATTAGTGATTATCTTGGGTCAAACTTGGTGCCATAGAAGTCCATTAATGTCCAGCTGAATGTCAATTTTTCTCCATACGACCATTCTGTTAGACCCAAAGTCTAGAAAATGCTGGTATCTGGGCATACACCCATACACACTTCACAGATATATGAAGTAACCCAACCGAAGTGTATTACTATTTCTGGAACAAATAAATGAGTAGAATAGATATTGTTTTCTTACAGCTGGTGTTGCTGCCCTTCTGGTAAGAGGAAATAGTTGTGTCCCCGCTCCTCCTCCCAATATGACTGCCGCCACATTTTTGGGGTCGACTCTTTGCCTCTCAATTCGTGGTGGCTGTAAGGTCTAGTAACCAATATATACAGGATTTTCACAATGAGACCAAGTACCCATTGGCCATTACAATGAAATGAAATCTATCGTTTGTCGATAATTTAAAAACAAAAAAGAGAATGAGATCAATACAGGAATCTTATAGTTTCTGCAATTTTTATCAGAAACAGAGAAACACAGAACTATCTTACCAAAAAAAGAAACACAGAACTATGAACTCTTAAAGAGAATAGAAAAAAAATATGAATAAGAACATCACTAAACCATCAACACTCAGACCAGAGGAGAATCTGAATCTGGAGGATCCCAAAAGAAGGATTAAAACTCACTGGTCCAAAATAGGATTACATGGGGGAAACAGCTTACCACAGTCTCCCTAGTTGTATTGTTTGATGTCAAAACCGCACGGGCTACACCTGGTTTGATCTTCTTATTGCCATTAACATCAACTTTAAAGCTTTTCGCCAACTGATTGACCCGGACACTGGTATCTACACTCCCTCTAGTCCTTTCCCCGAAGAACTGCTTTCCACCAGCAAGCGTATTAGCTTTCAAGGCCACACTGCCAGAATCCATTGTAGTAGTAGTAGTAGTACCCTCCTTACAGCTCCCAAGATGAAGGCGATGGCGGATCACAAATCACTATCTTCTTTCACTACAAGCAGTAAATGGGCGCAAATCCCAATAAAGTATGAGTTCTAAACCAAGTAAGCAAGTAAAGTATGGATCACATACCATAAAAAAACATATCAGTAAGAAACGGTAGGACAGCTCACATGTTTTCTCGAAGCTCACTCTTGGTATAATTAATATGTAAGATACGGAATCTAAGCTACCCGAGAAGTTCAGTTAAAAGCATATATATAACGGAAAAGCTCGAGTAATACCCAGAAACAGGAGTTGTCGGATTCAAACTCTTCCCTTTTACAGATTCTGAGGATAGTTGGTCCCGAATCAAGAACCTGAAGCGAAAAGAAGCTAAAGAATCAGACCTTCCACTAAAGAAAAACATTAGTGAGAGATAAAACTACAAAAAGAAAAACAAACCATCACGTATACATATATGCAAGAGTTCAGACAAGTGATCAAGAGAGTTCGTTGTTCTGTTTAGTATTTTTTTCGTTCGATACTTGAGAGCAAGAAACAGCAGTTCCAAGAAAACAGGATGTGGAGAGCAAGAACAGCTTTTGAATATGCTTTTTGTTAATCTAGTTCGAAAATGAGGATGAAAAGCGTGAAATGATACTGACGGTGGTGGCTATGGCTTGGTTAACCTGTGAACAATCACGAGAAATCTTGCTTAGTTATGATCAGTTTCGTACCTTTAAGTAGTAAGTGCACACTCACACTGGTGTGCTTCTTCTGTGTAAGTACCACACCCATCTCCCTTGCCTTATTTTATAGTCCGACTACGAGTTTCTATGCACTTCTGTTCCCATACAAAGCAGCCATTATAAACCACACACCTGTCCATTTCAAGGCCAAATGCTGGTTTATTTTTTTAAAACAATCATAATTAGATTTGATTTGATTAATTAATCATTTCTGCTTGGAGAAGTCTTAACTACAGAAATTGCTGGTTACTGTTCTTGCTGGCTGTTACTTGTGTGAGTAGATTTTTCACATTGCATTGTACCCTTGAGTCCTGATCTCCCTCTTTTTTTTTTTTTCTTTCTAGAAAGTCCTGCTCGCTTTGATGGTTAATAATACTATGTGTTTCCCGCCACTACATGTTGTCACTCGTCAAAGTAAAATGATCGAGTAAAAGATGGTCACCTGTCTTGTTAATAATACTATTTTTTCTTGTGCTAATGTATGTGGTGTTACTATTATGTGCATAGTCCACTAGTGTTAGTATGGTGCATAAAATCTTTACCAGAAAAGGGAAGAGCAAGTTCTAGAGAATGGGGGTGTGGCCGATCCAGATCACATGCAAACATAGGCAAAAGGAAAATATCAACCACATCTCAGGAATTTCTACCAAACTTGGCTTCCTACCTTTTATTGCATATTGAAAATGCAGGGAGGGAGCAAGCTCTTTATAACCCCCCTTGCAACCACAAAAGAGAATATTATATTTGTTTCATTTTAGTTATGGTATGATTCCTCTGCTCTTTCAATATGAGAACGCCACCACAAGGCTCTCTGACCGTGGCAGCTCTCTGGCTTGTCAGAATTGGTTTCTGGTTTATTAAATTTTTCTCCTTTTTTCATCCAGGAAAAAAAAAATCATTAAAACATTGTACTTACCTGTGGGTCCATTAGGCAATGCATGCATGGACAGGGAGATTTTTTTTCAATCATGTGAGGAGTCCTGCAACACCTAACACCGTGGACGGCTCTTATTGCAACGAGCAGCGGCCCATCATATTCTTTCACTAAGGCCCATGTGCTCTATCAGACGTACCTTAGTTGCTGTTGGTGGACCCTATTCCCCCATACAAGGATTTTCTCGTTGACATAAAAATTTCGAGAGGACTAATTTATATGAAAAAAACCAATGTGTTAATGATTCAAGTTGTAAGCGACTTGATTTCGATTAAGTAAAGTCGTGGATTCGATTGTTAGCGTATGTAAAAAAGATCCTTATTGAAAGATTCATCTAGCAGAACTAGGTGCGTAATCCGGTTCCAATCTGTGCGTAATCCGGTTCCAATCTAGATTAGTTAGAGTAAAGCTCCAAATTTCGAATGGGCAGCTCAAAGGGTCTTAGCAAATAGAATTATTGCACACTGTAGCCGTGATTTGAAAGAAAATATTATTTTCTGTCCAAGACTATTGCCATATGCATTATGCAGTTTTTTTATTAGTATACTGCATGGTGATTGCGATATTTGGCAAGAAAAATCATAAAT